AAAATACATTTATGCACTATGATATATCATACATAGATGGGATATAATTTCTTATTTTTCTGAGTGTACATGTTGCAGAATCATATTGGTCATGTAGTCACACATACATAAAATAATAATGTCTATTTCATTCTACTATCTTTGCTATCCCCACATCCCCTCTCCCCTCCCATCATATTTAATTATAATTAATATGGTAAAATCCATGGGGTAAACCAGGAATCTCACTGTTTTAGTTGGTAGCAATTGTAGTGTTCAGCATGAATTGAGTTGCAGAGAACAAACTGTAATATGACCAAATAACAATGGAATTTTAAAAATTTGATTTTGGAGAAATATTACATAATAGGCATTGTAATAAATAATGTATTTATTGAGTTAGTTATGTCATTCTTCTGAGTAACAGTTAAAACTTCAAACTAAAGTTAGAAGTGCATCTCTGAGGGGGCCAAGTGATTTAAAGATGTTACTGCATTGTTACAAACTCCTTCTGAAGGAGATCTGGAGCAGGATGTACAGTATCTGCTTTGAAAAATTAATGGTAATGGCATTTACTAATATCACTGTGAAGAATTATTTTAAAGTACCCATGAGCTGCAAAGCAAGAAAGCCCTCTGCTTAATAACTGGGCTCAGTCATATATCTCAAGTCCAACTATTAGAATCCCCAAATCAACTCATTAGAGAGAAAGAGAACTGAGTTGGTGTTATAACATTTTCCTTCTTTCAGTAGGAACTTATTAAGTACTAACTTTATAGTCTTTGCTATTAAAGGAGACCAAAAGTAATAAAATATAAACTCCTTATTCTTTAGAATTACATATATTTTTATTTTTAAGACAAATTTCATATTTTTAATTGTTTAATAGACACTATTATTGGAAGTCAACAGAGTTAATGATGCTCTTAGTCACTATCAGAGTGAAATCAAAGTACTTAGGACCATAATTCAATAACCTTATCTATGCTCTTAGTCACTATCAGAGTGAAATCAAAGTACTTAGGACAATAATTCAATAACATTATCTATCATTAATTGCTAATCACTATGTTAAGATAGTCTTTAAAATGTCACTCTTGACTCCTGGTTATGATTCCCACTGTGAGTCTATGGATCCAAAAACAAATTTGTTTTAAGAATGCTCAAAGGAGGAAAAGATTTTCACAATACTCCAGTTCAGCAAAACTAAGATAAAATTAGTAACAAACATCTAGATTTTCCAGTTATTGGCAGATTCTGGGGTTTCCTAAGCAACATTTTACCCTAATACTTTAATATACCCAACTAAATGATAAGATACCCAACTACATGATAAGATAGCAGGAGACCTTAAACATGATTTCACCAGAAAATACATACGTGCAATTTATCAGACATTCTGCTCCCCATTTCTATTTATTTCCCCTATTTTCCCAAATCCACTTCATTTTATTATTATTCCCACAGAATTTCTTAAAATCTCCTTTTTTGCCTTGTGTTTAATAAAAGTTTCACTTCTATTATCTTTTTGTAAAAGTCACAGAATAACCATTACTTAATGAGTTACCTCAACACTATAGAGTTTTTCTTCAAAGATCCAAAAGGAATTCTTTAAGAATGGACTTTTTCCCCATTTACATCTTATTTCAACAAGTTCTCTGATTTTAAATTGTTCATGAGAAACATAATTGAAGTGACATGACTTTATCACGACAAGTCATTTAGAATCCAAGACTTTCTTCCCTTTTGTGTTAAAAATTCACCTTGGGAATAAGATGGTTATATGTGCATATCTGTATAGAGAGTTCATAGGGATAAGAGTAGGGGACTGGTAAACAATCAATACAAGGAGAACTTAAAATGTCATCTGAATCTGATAAATTTAAACACTGCTATTTCCCAGGACTCTGCCACAAAAACTTTTGTCTCAATATCTATGGTAAATTAATGTTGATTTTCTCTATTGCTCTCATAAGGCAGGTTCTTTCTAAAAAGCATTTTGGAAAAGTGTAGTACTCTTTTTTCTTATTCTTATTCTGTGTATGCATGTGTTTGTGTGTGTGTGTGTGT